AGCGCTTGACACACATCGAGTTTACCTAAACTGGCGGCACGGTGCAACGGAGTGTCGCCACACTGGATGCACACGCAAGAAACAACAGTACAGGAAAAAGTTCTCAATGAGTTAGATTGTGGAACACAGTCACAACTGTAGATCAAACCAAAACAATTCAGAGTGGAATTCAACAGTTGGTGGATATGGTACTACTTGTCTGGTATTTACATTGCATGATTGCCATTAGTGTACAGACATACATGTACACTTATACCTCGGTTATCCAGACCCCAAAGTTACGGCCATTTCAGGCTACAGGGAAACCTTTGGCCGAGGTTCAGGGAAATGATAGTACACTTTTGGCGATTTTTGTGGAAATAGTGACGACATACGCCATACTTTTTGCCATTCCCCGTCAAAATGTATGTCATTGGGGGTAACGGACATTTCGAAGTTACGGCTAGTGCCCGGATAAACAAGTTATGAGTGTATTTCATATTGTCGGATCATTGTGTCGTTGTACAAATTGGATCAACGCCCAGGATGTGGTATGAATGCGGCTAGACGTACACATAATATGAAAGTGCAGTGATGTGATCGGAACTGGTTCATGGTACAGTCGTCCCTCTCTAATCCGGCACCTTTTGCTACGTCGTTTTCTGCTGGATTAACGAGGGTGCTGGATTAAGAAATCCTGCCCTCTGACCCGGCCCTACCCAATTGCATGCATGTATCATACGTCAAAACGCAGGGTTTTTCCGTGTCGACCCAAGTATTTGGTGTACGGCTTTATATTCTCAACTTTTCTCCAGGAATATGCACAGTGATAAAGTAAAACAGAGAACATGTTCACATGTACTCTTGCACACACACGCACACACACACACCCGAAAATTGGCAGGACACTACTCCTTGCTAAAATAAGAAAGTATGGCTGGCTGCTTAGCCGTTGTCTCCTGGACAACATTGACCAGACTGGCCTAGCCTGGCCTGGCAAGGAGTGCACCTGTACGGTACGCGATTTAAGACTGCCGGATTATGAAATCAAACTGCGTGCAGTTCGAGCGATTCGTTTCAAAAAGTCACTGCCGGAGGCGGAATTCAAGTGCCGGATTAAGATGTAGGAATTGAACGAAAAAAATCGGTTTCGTCAGAAAGTGCGCCGGTTGGCAAGGGTTCCGGATAAACAAGTGACAGATTAGAGAGGGACGACTGTACCAGTTTTGTGCTTTAGGTCACAATTCAGCGAAGAGAATTGTACGTCGCTGCCTTAATCTGATGCCTTCCGGGTGATTCAGTGGCAATTTTGGAGTTTGTCCTATTGCCACTTTCAAAATGGATGTTTTGCCCTTTATTCTGCATGTGTAATAGACAAGTTCGCCAAAGATTGTCTGGGTTCGTGTCACGGGGCAAGGTGGAAATCGCGGATCACGGATCGCGGAACTTGATCGTGATTTTCACTGACAAGCAGTCATACTACTTGTAGTTGTCGAAAGTTTGTTTTATTTCCTGAGATGTCTTGTTCACGGGACAGATGGCTGACGACCTTCCCATCGCATCCTGGACCCTGGCTGAGCTGAAAGCCTTCCTGAGGAAGCGTGGTGCCTTTTTATCCGGCAAGAAAGCCGAACTTTTGGAACGGTAAGTAAAAACATATTTTGTCAAATAGGTTTTGAGAAAGTACGTCTGATTTTTTCCTCTGTTCTCTTCTTCCCCTGGCCAGTGCCGTGTTCTACAAGAACAACCCTGATGCCCCGCGAACTCGGTCATCAGTCACCAACGCTGACTCTCGTGCTGTGGCAGCGGAGGAGACAGCCAAAGCACCTTGCTTCCCCACGTCAGGCTGGTCGCACGATCCGTCCAGTTTTCCTGCAGTGACGACGTCGACTTTCATTGAGCACATGCTGAAATCTGGGAAATCGGTGCAGTGTGGAGGAGATGATGCAGGAGTGGTGATGGTTCGGCGGCCGTTGGAGAGAGGCAATGAGTTCTTCTTCGGAGGATACGTGCATGATGTCTCTGTGGCCACTAGTGACATGAACTCGTTTGTTGTTGGCAAGTGCTGGGTGTCACAGCACAAAACGACAAAGTACTGTCAGAAGCTCGTCCTTGCTACAGCCCCGGAGTCCACCAGTGCTACAGTAACGTATGCCACGTGTGAGAGATGTGTGGCTGGCGTCGATGGAGGCCTCTGCTCTCATGTGTTTGCCCTCTTGATGGTGCTGGAAAAGTACCGCTGCACTGAGGAGGCAAGGTCCGTCACGTCATTGCCATGCAGCTGGGGTCCCAGACAACGAGACATTGAACCCAATCATGGACACCGTTGTCGAGAGGGCGTCCATGGAGAGGAAGGGCCCACCTGTCAAATGTTCCCTCTACGAGAGCAGGGAGCGAGAGCTGCGGACACCGTCAGTAGAGAATGTCAGCCGCTTCCGTGACTTGTTGCCTGATGGTTGTGGCGTGAAGCAGCTGTTGCCACGGCAGTTTTCTACTGTGACAAGCTTGTATGGACCGACACCTCGTGGCAGTCCATTGGGTTACCAAAGGAATCCTGATCACGCCCCAGTCGCTCCTCAATCACTGCCGGCGGCGACTAGGAAGAAACGGTTTCCGCCACTACCACTGCCTGCTCGAAAAGAACCCACTTCGATGGGACTTGTTTGGCCATGCAGCTTGCAGGATGCACAGGCGTTGGAACGCCGAACCATCGGCCAGTCGTCGAACAAGGAGTGGATGGATCGCCATATGTACACCCTTACTGCATCCAACTTCCGACGCATTGTGCACTGTAAGACTGGCCAGGAAAAGCTCCTGACGTCTCTATTCAACCAGCGCTCTTTGTCACACATTCCTGCCATCCGCCATGGGAAACAGCATGAGCGTGATGCTGTTGCCAAGTATCAGTCTGTCAAGAGTGCCGGTGGCCAGCCAGTTTCGGTACGAGATTGTGGTCTTGCAGTGGACCCAATGTACCAGTACATCGGTGCTTCCCCTGATGCAATGGTGTTTGACCGGTCTGCGCAACCTCCATATGGGCTGTTGGAAGTCAAATGCCCGTACGCAGCCTTTGAAAAGTCTCTGACTGGCTGAAGCTACTGCCCAGGACAGCAACTTCTGTTTGGTAGAAGAGGATGGTCAATTGAAACTCAGCAGACAGCATCCATACTATACGCAAGTACAAGGTCAGCTGGGTGTATGTCAACTGCCCTGGTGTGATTTTTTTGTTTGGTTAGGACAGAGCTTTCACTTGGAGCGTATCTATGCTGACTTTGATCTTTATAGCAGCTCCATTTTGCCGGCACTCACTGCGTTTTATGCTGCGCATGCTTTGCCGTACTTGCGCAAGCTGGAACGACCAGTACCGCCTGATGTTCCAAGTAGTGCTCCTGTTCCTCCTGCTGCTCCTGCTGCTGCTCCTGCTGCTGCAAGATCCGCTGTGTCCCCCTGGTCGCAATATGAAATGTTGCTTCCCCCCCGACTTATCACAGGCGACTATTGATGGTAGGAACGGCAGCAATGCTTGCACGATTATCTCTGCTGTGTTTATTCGCAACAGTCTTGAGGCTGCTAGTGCTGATGGTGCTGTCGATACCAGTGCTGCTGCCATGTGTGAAGCTATGCGTTCAGGCAACAGTATTTATGATTCTCTGCACACCAACGAACTCCTTTCATGTGATGAAGTGTTAGCACTCCAGCCAAGTGTAGGAGTAGATATGTGTGCTGAGTCATTTGTCCGACCTGCTGCTCTGGACACAATGGTGTCGTTGATGTCAACTCGCTCGCAGAATGTGGCTTCTTTTGCATACGGTGCTGTGTTTGTTGTCACTCCATACTCAATCTCTCTGTGTTCTTGCCAGGGGCGTTTCATCCTCTTTGACTCTCATTGCCATGGGGGTAGTGGTGCACTTCTTGCAGATGTGCCTACTTCTGAGGCGGCTGATTATCTCGAGTACTTTTTTCACACTACTACCCTCGGCTGAACTTCAATGCTGCTGCTGCTGGTAACCCTGCAGCCCACGTAACATTTTTAGACTTGCGACAGTCTGCTTGTGCAACCTAGCTTGCTCCACTGGCTCGCTTGTTCTCTCCCACGTACTTCTTGGTCATTCCACTCCTGTACATACATCTTTGTGCTGATTATCCTAACAACATGCTGCAACCTCATCCTGGCAGTATCTTCGCTTGTATATATCTTGACTAGTTTGAGGGAAAGACATATTATATATTTATTTATTTTTAAACTCTCCTTGTCTTTTGACGCTTGTGGGTAGTGATGAACCCGAGACCATTGGTCGGGGGAGCTACTCTTGCCGCGCCCCACTCTTGTCCAATATGCCACTGCTTGCTCAACATTAGCCCGCTGTGCAGCATCTGCAGGTTCTGTGGTACACTGTAAAATATACTGTGTCAAATAATATTGTGAAGAAGGGCTGAGGCTTCCTGCAGCTTCATCTCTGAAATATATTCCCATAGCGTTGTATATCCGAACCAGTATTTAGGTACTTCAAATGAAGTAATCTGTGCTGTCATCCAACACACGAGCACAAACACAGACCCGCCCCATTGCGGAAGCAATGATAGCGAACAGCTACGTTAAACATAGCAACTTGTGAAATCTGTGTTGTCATCAAACATACGCACCCACGAGCACACACACAGACCCGACCCATCGCGGAAGCCATGAAAGCGAACAGATACGTTAAACATAATAGCTTGTGCTGCCATTCAACAGAGTTAATTTACAACGTTTCGGCACTTGGCCATCATCAGGGGGATGCGAACTGAGGGTGCATGAGGGGGGGGGGGGGGGGAGAGAAGGTGCAACTGTGCACGTCACGAACAAGAAGCAGCAGAAGGTAGCCTGCCATTGTGCTCTGCGAAGTGAGTGAAGTGAGTAAAGAAATAGGGTTGCAACATACGTGGACAATGCTGTAACCTACTTAGGAGGATCGTGTTAGTTCAGATGGCAGCAAAAGTGGGCAATGCAAAACTAGATCAGCAGTGCAACGTCTAGCTCCTTACTCCACAATCAGTGGGCCAGAGAGGTTGCTCAACAAACAGCAGATTGTCCAGACCTGGCTGATGGAAGCAAACTGCACCAACGGTATATCTTTGTCGAAGATGTGAAATCTTGACTTGACTCTGCCGATGGCGCGCTCGACATGAATACGAACACTGGCAATTTTTTGTGTCTTGACAACATCTTCCTTGGGCATGAACGCTCTTGAGCCCTTGAACGGAGGAATGTTTAAGATGAGCCCAGGCTTAACAAGCAAGTCCTGGATTGCAAAGCCACGATCTGCCATCACACGCTTGCCTGGTGGCACAGAGTCGAGCAGTGGAATGATACCGCTCTCGACCACAAGCTGCTTGTCGCTGATACAGCCAGTGAAGAGTTGGCTAATAAACGTGAAAGTACCATTTGGTGCGATTCCAACAAGACCCTTAACCGTAATATGGGACTTGTACGACGAATAGAGCTGTGACTGTAATGAGAGTGAGCTAGGAATCTCGCAGCGTAGCTCTGTAGCATCTAGGATGATGAAGGTGTCCGGAAATGATTGTTTAAACGATTGCCGCATTGACTTTGCAACATCATCCCACTCCGGCCAGATAGGCATCATTGCAAGATGAAGGTAGAGGAAACTGATCCACATCTTCAGTATCGATAAAACAGCACTCTCACTAACACCAAAGCTATAAGCCAACTCTTCTTGAAGTCGGCCGAGGCGAAGACGCATGAGCGTGAGTAGTAGCTAATCTTCTTGTGACAGGACAGAGACACGGCCACTGCCACGAGCTATTTTCCGGCCTTCTTGCTATCTTGCTGCTGATTTTTCACTCAAGATTGCACCTGGGCGTACTTGCAGGTAGGACCACAGACTTTTCCATGCCCCATTATTTAGCCCAATGAGAAACTCCATCTCCTCCTCGTTGTCACATATATTGGCATAACGGAAGAGCTGTGAGCGAAGGTGAGTGACTTCAGCTTTCAAACTTTCAACTTCAGCTTCCAACTCCTTCACCTTAGATTTCTTCGTTCGTAGCTCTCCTTGGAGCTTGAACTCCACAGCCGAAACGCCTGGCTTTGGCAGCTGCTTTTGGGCTTCCAGCTCAGCTGCACGAGCTGCACCAACAGCTAACCGTTCTGCGCGTGACAGCCTGGGGGTCGGAGGCGGAGGTCGGAGAGAAAACAAGGACGGCACAGCCCCTTTCTTCACTCGACGACATGGTTTCTTCGCCCCTGGCTGGTGTACAGACACAGTCGGGTAGAAACTTTCAGGTGTAAAATGTTCGCTGCAAACGACGGTATTGGCAGAAACTACGAAGTGTTCCCGCTTCACAGCCTGTATCCACTTTGCGCGAGTGTCAGGATCGGCAGGGAGGACATGAAACGATATGTCAGGCCTCTTGGAACGGCGGTTAGAACAGTCGAACACACAGCAGTGATCCTCAGCAGGCATTCCAATAAACACAACTGAACTCGAGAGAACAAACATTTGATTTCAGACAGGAAAAATTTGAAATGTCGATCCCACGCTGCAGGTCAGAGTGCCCCCCTGCCCCGTCTCGAACCCAGACAATCTTTGGCGAACTTGTCTATTTAATATCGTACTCGTAATGCAGGTTGAGTGATGCCCAGTCTATTCACGCGGCTGCAGATTCATAGTACATACTGTAGAACAGGTAATTTTAGCGACTAGTTTTATTTTAGCGTTTTACCATTGTCAACCGGTTAGCGACGTTTTAGTTTTGCGATATGCAGCGATTTTACTCACGGATCACCAGCGCACTACTTGTCTCAACGGATTAAGGACTTGAAACTTTAGCGAAAATGAGTCGATCGCTAAATTCGCTAGGGTTTTTACGTCGCTAAAATTACCCGTTCTACAGTACCTCATACTGTGTTACTGTCTAATGATCTGGGGAAAAGTTTCTGTCAACTGAATCCACCCAGGGCTAAACCAAGCGGAGTTTAGCATGCACTCTGCAAACGGAATAACACTCACGTCGTCTCCGGCATGTTGATATAAAGTGGCGCAAGAAATAAAAGGAGGAGGAAGGCATGCAGAAGTCTTAGCTTCCGTGCTTCTGTTCTTTGCTCGCGAAACCAGTTTGTGCAGCTAGTGCACCTAAACCCTACGTGAGGGTTCTTGTATGGAAATACTGTATTTACATCTGGAATGCTCGATGTTCTGTATGCACACCCTACTATTCACGAGGATGGAGCCTGCGCTGCTCTTGCCTGCAGCAATGTAGGATACAATATACTGGTAGCTCGAAATACTTTTCTGTTTTCAGCTCATGTGCCTGAAGTCCACCTGCAGACTCCTCCCGAAGTCGTTCCGAGTTTTAGTACTTCGACATACTAACCCTTCATACGTGTAATGGATGGATCATAGTAATCATTGTTCCGTCTGGACCCGCTCAGGTGAAAGATTCTGGTATGATGGCATCTCTCAAGAATATACCAAGCAATGGGAGCGTGACCGAAGTAGCTGCCGTCTTCAAGAAATTCAATAAGCATTTGCAGCCACGGGTAAATGCACGACTGGCTCGGTTTGAGCTTCAGAAATACCGCCAGCAACCCGACGAGTCTGTAGATGATTTCTTTGCGAGGTGTAAGAAGAAGACGTCCAAGTGCAAGTTCAGGGACGCTCAGGAGACTAACGATCGCCTGATAGAACAACTAATCGTGGGGACGAAGCACTCGAAAGTGCAAGAACGCCTGCTGGAGGCTGGTAGTGATTTGACTCTGGACGAAGCGCTTGACAAGGCCCGTACTTACGAAGCAACACAGCGCCACATGGAGCAGCTGTCCACCGCCACCAGCAGCAGCCGTCTACCTGAAACGGTTCACACCATTTCCAAATCTGTGGGACACGCAGACTGCTGCAAATGTGGACGAACCCACCACCCAAGCAAGTGCCCAGCGCACGGCTCCACCTGCAACAAATGCGGGAAGGCGAATCACTGGGCAAACGCATGTCGTTCGCAGGGAGAGACGAGGCACATGGAAGGGGCCAGCAACGCGGACGCTGGCGCCAGAGGAGCCCCAGCCCGCGGGAGCGCTACCCCCAGAGGAGCCCCAGCCCACGGAGACGCTTCGACGCACTGCATTTCGACGCCGTCATCATCGACAGCGTCGAGCGTCACCAACCGCCACTAGAGCGAGAGGTCTTCGCGACCCTCAATGTCAGCCTGGACAACATCAACAGACCGGCCACCTTGAGAGCCAAGGTGGATACGGGCGCCCAGGGCAATATATTGCCACTGAGAGTGTTCTGCCAAATGTTCCCCCAGCACGTCGGACCAAACGGATACCCAAAGCCGAAGTCCGTGAAGCCGTCAAGTACCACCCTCACAGCGTACGGCGGATCCAAGATAAAGCAATGCGGAACCCGTCCTATTCCGTGCTCTTACGATGGCAAGAGTCAACTCGCTGACTTCTACATCACGGACTGCCCTGGCACTGCTATCATCGGTCTCCCGACAGCGACAGCCCTGCAGTTAGTCACGCTGAACTGTGCTGTCCAGGAGAAGCCAGCGAGCATCCGAGACAAGGACGACCCGATGAAGCAATACCCGAAGTGCTTCGATGGCATTGGGAAATTCCCAGGCAAGTACCACATCACGGTGGACCCCAACGTCGTCCCGGTTGTACACCCTCCACGCCACCTCCACGCCATCGCACTGAGAGACGAGATCAAGACGGAGCTGGAGGACATGATCCAGAACGGCATCATCACCAAGATCCAGGAAGGCGAACCAACAGCGTGGGTGAACAGCCTCGTGTTCCGCCTCAAAGACAATGGCAAGCTACGCCTGTGCCTAGACCCCAAGGACCTCAATCACGCCATCCTGCGAGAGCACCACGTGGTCTCCAGCATTGAGGAGATCACCCCGAAGTTGAGAGGTGCCAAAGTGTTCTCGATCGTCGACGTCAAATGTAGGTACTGGAATGTGGAGCTCGACGACGAATCCAGTTACCTCACCACCTTCAACACACCATTCGGGCGCTACAGATTCCTTCGCATGCCATTCGGCCTCAAGATGTCGCAAGATGTCTTCCAAGCAAGGATCGACCAGACGTTCGAAGGGTGCTCAGGCGTCACCGGAATCGCAGACGACATCGTCACATACGGGACGTCAGACGAGGACCATGATTTCAACATGCACCAGATGATGGTTCGCTGCGAACAATCTGGTCTCAAGTTGAACCCAGACAAATGCCGCATCAAAGAGGACAAGATCAAGTTCTTCGGCATTATCTGCAGCGCTGACGGAATACAGCCCGACCCGAAGAAGGTCTCAGCGCTGAAGCAGATGGAGCACCCGAGAACGAGGACGAGCTCCAGACGTTCCTCGGGCTAGTCACGTACATGAGCCCGTTCATACAGAATGCCAGTACACTGACCGCGCACCTGCGTGAGCTGACCAAGCCAGATACACCGTTCGCCTGGACAGACAGCCACCAGCGCACCTTCGACAAGGTCAAGGCCGCCATTTCGACAGAAGTAACGCTCAGTTACTTTGACCCAGGCAAGGCAACGACACTACAAGTCGACGCTTCCATGAAAGGTCTCGGCGCCACTCTGCTGCAGGACGACAAGCCTGTTGCATTCGCCAGCAAGAAGCTTACCGAGACGGAGTCTCGCTACGCCAATATTGAGCGTGAGCTCTTAGCTGTCGTAAACGGGTGTGAAAGATTCCACACCTACCTATTCGGTCAGTCATTCACAGTAGAATCCGACCACAAGCCACTGGAGTCAATCAAGCTCAAGCACCTCCGCGCAGCCCCGCCGCGTCTACAGCGCATGCTGCTGAAGCTGCAGCCGTACGACATGACCATCAAGTACCGCCCCGGAAAGGACATTCCGATCGCAGACGCGCTATCCCGACTGTCGCCAGAGGAAACAGAGCCAATTGAGGACCTCGACGTCAGTGTACACGCCGTGTTCCCGCAATTCAGCGATGCAGCGATGACGAGGATCCGTGAGGAGTCGGCTAAAGACGCCGAGATGTTAACACTGAAGGAGATGATCTTCAGTGGCTGGCCATCAGAGAGGAGCGCGGTGCCGGCAATTCTGCTCCCGTACTGGAATTTCCGCGACGAGATGAGCACCGAGGACGGTCTCATCCTGAAGAGCAGTCGCGTCCTGATTCCCCCGCCAATGAGGGGGGAAATCCTCAGCAAGCTGCACGCCAGCCACCAAGGCATAGAGAAGACCAAGCTGCGAGCCAGAACGTCCGTCTTCTGGAAGGACATCAACAAGGATATCGAAGCAACTGTCTCATCTTGCACGACGTGCCAGCGCCACCAGAGCAGTCAAGCCAAGGAACCACTGGTGCAGCCCGATATTCCGCCAAGGGCATGGCACACCTTAGGCACGGACCTGTTCTACCTCGGCGGGTCAGAATACCTCATTGCCGCCGACTACTACTCCAAGTACTTCATCACCCGGAAGCTGCCTGCCGGACAAGCGACCAGCAGGGCCATCATCCAGCACCTCAAGGAGATTTTCGGTGAGCACGGCACCCCAGCCGTGCTGAAGTCGGACAATGGGCCGCAATACAGCAGCCATCTGTTCGCGGAGTTTGCTGCCGAATATGGATTCCGCCACAGTACGTCGTCGCCACATCACCCGCAGAGTAACGGGTTTATCGAATCGCAAGTCAAGATCGCTAAGAGAGCTCTCGAGAAGGCAAGGGAGAGCGGGACCGACCCGCACTTAGCACTGCTGTGCATTCGCGCCACCCAGTGTGCCAGGGCTTACCGTCGCCGGCCGAGATGCTGTTCGGTCGTCAGGTACAGGACAACCTGCCTCGCAAACACCAGCGCGACACTCGGGACGAGGCCATCCGACAGAAGCTCGAGGAACGGCAGGACCAGCAAAAAGTACACCATGACCAGCGAGCGCAGTCTCTCCGCCCCCTAGTTCCTGGTCAGCACGTCGGCATCCGCAGCCCGACCACGCACCTGTGGGAACCTGGTATCGTAACCCAGTCTGTCAACGGGCCACGGTCATACATGGTGCAGCCTGACCATGGGACAGAAGTGCGGCGCAACCGTACCCACCTCAGAGAGAGGCGGGTCCACTTCCCGCCGGATGCCAGTCTCGCAGGCCCTCAGCCGTCGACGCGCAGCGACATTGGCGAGCCTCAGCCGCCGAGTGACGTGCCGTCGTCGTGGAGCAACGTTAGCCAGTCTCAGCCGCCGTCACCGTGTGACGTCAGCCAGCCTGCTGAACCTGCCACCCAGCTGTATCGAACACGGTCTGGCCGCGCAGTCGCACCCAGGTCAATCCTGGATGTGTAGGGCCAGAGAGGCCTCATGGACCTGTTCGCTTATGTCACAGTAGCTGAGGTACCATTGTTATGTTGTACATAGAGCTATTGTTGGATACTATGTCTCTGTATTGTTAGCACGCCGTCGTGTGCCATTCATGATTGTTATCTTGTACATAGAGCTATTGTTGGATGTTATGTTCTATATTGTGAACACGCGTCGCCGTCATATACGTACGGTATGTTATGTAGGTTGTTAAACTCCTTTATGACGAAGGGGATGTTGTATTATGAGGAAATGCATTACGTAGCCATGCAAGAGCATGCGCGAGATACGCATCTCGCAGCTGCCTACTTTCATGCAGGATCCTTTAGATGTCGTGGTTCTTATGATTTGCCTACAATGGCCAAGTGAGAATATAATCCTGTCGTAAACAACTAACTTGGTTACCCCGAAACACACTGCATGTAACGTTCTGTACACTGAGGGCGCCGGTCCCGGTCATTCTCCTGGATTTCCATGTCCAAGACAAGACAGTATTTTCATTGCATGTATGTCATTAGTGTTTAGGGTTTATCGGGTGTTAGCGGCCGTCGTGAGTTCCCTTCGGGAACGGATATGATAATTTACTTTTTTACTTTTTATGTCATTAGTGTACAGACATACATGTATGTCATATTTTCTTATCAGTGTGTTGTTATACAAATTGGATCAATGCCCAGGATGTGGTAGGAATGTGGCTAGACGTGCACATATGCAAGTGCAGCGATGTAATCCGAACTGGTCCAGGGTGACAGCTTTGCACTTTATTACTGTAAATATACAAATTTTCGGCAGCTATTTAATTTCGGCTATATTCGGCACCGACCCAAAACGCCTAAATTAAAACGCCGATGACATTTTTCACCGCATCTGTCGCACTATACCATGCCCTCTACCCCACGCCGAAAATAAATCGCCGCCGAAATGTCAAAAATCATGAAGTGCCGAAATTTTGCAGCGCCGAAATTTTGTATATTTACAGTAGTTCGGATTTCAACACTCACAACCGTACTTGCTCACTGTTTGGGTTTCAGTGCATACTTTCATAGCGTGGTGAAGGTAAATTACGTAATAAAGGCAGAGAGCCGCGCACTGACCCATAACCACAGTTGCATACTCTTGTTTATGCACTCTTGCTACTATCCACGAGGATGGAGTCTGTGCTGCACTAGCCTGTGGCAATGTACAGTCGGGGAGATGTCCTATCTAGGACATCGCACTCTGAATGAGTCTGATTGGTTACCTGTCCCAGAGTTGTCATGGAAGCGTCGGTCGCGCACACGCGATGAAAAGAAGTGCTGCGTGAGCATTTCTGAATGTATGTGGAGGATGCACGATCGTAATGGCGATGGATTTCTTTCCGAAATGGTCAAGTTTGAGGGAATAGGCGGAGAATATCAGACATCGGCGGGGATTGAGGTAGTGTATATTCGATTCGCCATCGAATACCCGACCGAATGGCCGTTTTCGTTTGGGGATTTCATGTGGGGTTTCTCGTAGCCACGCGGCGCTTCTTTGGAAACGATTGGTTCTAATTTTTGAATGTTTTGCCTTTGGAATGTTTCTTCACGCCCCGTGCGTTCATTTCGCCCCAAACCTGGCCATGCAGAGGAGGACGACGAGGCAGCAGGCGCTAGGCCCGTAAATTACTGCCTGGAAGATATTATTTGGCCAAAGCTTGCTGTTGGCGTTTTTTGATTTCTTGGGTACGACAGCTCTTGGCTAAAACTGGACCTTGGACGGTCTTTCTTGGATATCAACCCAGGACGTGGTGGTCATGGACGTATCGCCATCGCTTTCAGCCAGATCCTTCTGCTGCCTGAAACCAATGGCGAAAGTAAAACTTTATCGCAGCAGCAGCTACTGCTCTGCTGAAAGTGCGAACACAAATTGCTTCGCCAATCCTCTTGTGCACTTGCAATTTTCAATGCGACCAAAATGATTCGCTTGCCAGTTCCTTTGTCCAGGTGTACTCCACAACGAGGAAAATAAAATTCGTGAAGGCAAGAGGCAAGATACGAATCTCGACTCGCTTGAGGCAAGCCGCCAGGAGAACGACAACTAATAATAAATTATTACTTTTGAGACGAAAGGCCTTCGTTGCGTTTGTTTTGAGTTCGAATGTTCATCTTCCTCGGACGCGACACAAAGTTTTGAGTCACGTGTCACGATTACTATGGGAACAGCATAGTATGTATGCTGGGGCATGCTGGGTTCCGTGATGTCCTATCTAGGACATCTCCAGGACTGATGTAAGATACAATATACATGTAGCTCGGAATACTTTTCTGTTTTCAGCTCATGTGCCTGAAGTTCACCTGCATACTCCTCCCTAAGTCGTTCTGAGTTTTTGTACTTCGACATACTAGCCCCTAATACGTGTAATGGATGGAACATTATTGTTCTGTCGGGGCCTGCTGAGGTGAAAGATTCTGGCATGATGGCGATTCTCTACACTATACCAAGCAATGGGAGCGTGACCGATTTTGAGAACAATAGACACAACAAACTGGGGCAAAGACTTGCACACATTGATGGGGTGAGGAGGCAGTAGATGAGAATTTTCGGGTTAGGACAGGATTCCACTCGGATAGAGGTCAAGGAACAGATTATTGTTTGCACGTTAATTGTACAGTGCAAAAACAGAACATGATTGTCCTGGTTCATGACACTCAATGTCACTGTGCTTTACCTCATTCTTGATGTTGCAGTCCGCCCCTGCAGCGAGCAGCGCTTGACACACATCGAGTTTACCTAAACTGGCGGCACGGTGCAACGGAGTGTCGCCACACTGGATGCACACGCAAGAAACAACAGTACAGGAAAAAGTTCTCAATGGGTTAGATTGTGGAACACAGTCACAACTGTAGATCAAACCAAAACAATTCAGAGTGGAATTCAACAGTTGGTGGATATGGTACTACTTGTCTGGTATTTACATTGCATGATTGCCATTAGTGTACAGACATACATGTACACTTATACCTCGGTTATCCCGACCCCAAAGTTACGGCCATTTCAGGCTACAGGGAAACCTTTGGCCGAGGTTCAGGGAAATGATAGTACACTTTTGGCGATTTTTGTGGAAATAGTGACGACATACGCCATACTTTTTGCCATTCCCCGTCAAAATGTATGTCATTCGGGGTAACGGACATTTCGAAGTTACGGCTAGTGCCCGGATAAACAAGTTATGAGTGTATTTCATATTGTCGGATCATTGTGTCGTTGTACAAATTGGATCAACGCCCAGGATGTGGTATGAATGCGGCTAGACGTACACATAATATGAAAGTGCAGTGATGTGATCGGAACTGGTTCATGGTACAGTCGTCCCTCTCTAATCCGGCACCTTTTGCTACGTCGTTTTCTGCTGGATTAACGAGGGTGCTGGATTAAGAAATCCTGCCCTCTGACCCGGCCCTACCCAATTGCATGCATGTATCATACGTCAAAACGCAGGGTTTTTCCGTGTCGACCCAAGTATTTGGTGTACGGCTTTATATTCTCAACTTTTCTCCAGGAATATGCACAGTGATAAAGTAAAACAGAGAACATGTTCACATGTACTCTTGCACACACACGCACACACACACACCCGAAAATTGGCAGGACACTACTCCTTGCTAAAATAAGAAAGTATGGCTGGCTGCTTAGCCGTTGTCTCCTGGACAACATTGACCAGACTGGCCTAGCCTGGCCTGGCAAGGAGTGCACCTGTACGGTACGCGATTTAAGACTGCCGGATTATGAAATCAAACTGCGTGCAGTTCGAGCGATTCGTTTCAAAAAGTCACTGCCGGAGGCGGAATTCAAGTGCCGGATTAAGATGTAGGAATTGAACGAAAAAAATCGGTTTCGTCAGAAAGTGCGCCGGTTGGCAAGGGTTCCGGATAAACAAGTGACAGATTAGAGAGGGACGACTGTACCAGTTTTGTGCTTTAGGTCACAATTCAGCGAAGAGAATTGTACGTCGCTGCCTTAATCTGATGCCTTCCGGGTGATTCAGTGGCAATTTTGGAGTTTGTCCTATTGCCACTTTCAAAATGGATGTTTTGCCCTTTATTCTGCATGTGTAATAGACAAGTTCGCCAAAGATTGTCTGGGTTCGTGTCACGGGGCAAGGTGGAAATCGCGGATCACGGATCGCGGAACTTGATCGTGATTTTCACTGACAAGCAGTCATACTACTTGTAGTTGTCGAAAGTTTGTTTTATTTCCTGAGATGTCTTGTTCACGGGACAGATGGCTGACGACCTTCCCATCGCATCCTGGACCCTGGCTGAGCTGAAAGCCTTCCTGAGGAAGCGTGGTGCCTTTTTATCCGGCAAGAAAGCCGAACTTTTGGAACGGTAAGTAAAAACATATTTTGTCAAATAGGTTTTGAGAAAGTACGTCTGATTTTTTCCTCTGCTCTCTTCTTCCCCTGGCCAGTGCCGTGTTCTACAAGAACAACCCTGATGCCCCGCGAACTCGGTCATCAGTCACCAACGCTGACTCTCGTGCTGTGGCAGCGGAGGAGACAGCCAAAGCACCTTGCTTCCCCACGTCAGGCTGGTCGCACGATCCGTCCAGTTTTCCTGTAGTGACGACGTCGACTTTCATTGAGCACATGCTGAAATCTGGGAAATCGGTGCAGTGTGGAGGAGATGATGCAGGAGTGGTGATGGTTCGGCGGCCGTTGGAGAGAGGCAATGAGTTCTTCTTCGGAGGATACGTGCATGATGTCTCTGTGGCCACTAGTGACATGAACTCGTTTGTTGTTGGCAAGTGCTGGGTGTCACAGCACAAAACGACAAAGTACTGTCAGAAGCTCGTCCTTGCTACAGCCCCGGAGTCCACCAGTGCTACAGTAACGTATGCCACGTGTGAGAGATGTGTGGCTGGCGTCGATGGAGGCCTCTGCTCTCATGTGTTTGCCCTCTTGATGGTGCTGGAAAAGTACCGCTGCACTGAGGAGGCAAGGTCCGTCACGTCATTGCCATGCAGCTGGGGTCCCAGACAACGAGACATTGAACCCAATCATGGACACCGTTGTCGAGAGGGCGTCCATGGAGAGGAAGGGCCCACCTGTCAAATGTTCCCTCTACGAGAGCAGGGAGCGAGAGCTGCGAACACCGTCAGTAGAGAATGTCAGCCGCTTCCGTGACTTGTTGCCTGATGGTTGTGGCGTGAAGCAGCTGTTGCCACGGCAGTTTTCTACTGTGACAAGCTTGTATGGACCGACACCTCGTGGCAGTCCATTGGGTTACCAAAGGAATCCTGATCACGCCCCAGTCGCTCCTCAATCACTGCCGGCGGCGACTAGGAAGAAACGGTTTCCGCCACTACCACTGCCTGCTCGAAAAGAACCCACTTCGATGGGACTTGTTTGGCCATGCAGCTTGCAGGATGCACAGGCGTTGGAACGCCGAACCATCGGCCAGTCGTCGAACAAGGAGTGGATGGATCGCCATATGTACACCCTTACTGCATCCAACTTCCGACGCATTGTGCACTGTAAGACTGGCCAGGAAAAGCTCCTGACGTCTCTATTCAACCAGCGCTCTTTGTCACACATTCCTGCCATCCGCCATGGGAAACAGCATGAGCGTGATGCTGTTGCCAAGTATCAGTCTGTCAAGAGTGCCGGTGGCCAGCCAGTTTTGGTACGAGATTGTGGTCTTGCAGTGGACCCAATGTACCAGTACATCGGTGCTTCCCCTGACGCAATGGTGTTTGACCGGTCTGCGCAACCTCCATATGGGCTGTTGGAAGTCAAATGCCCGTACGCAGCCTTTGAAAAGTCTCTGACTGGCTGAAGCTACTGCCCAGGACAGCAACTTCTGTTTGGTAGAAGAGGATGGTCAATTGAAACTCAGCAGACAGCATCCATACTATACGCAAGTACAAGGTCAGCTGGGTGTATGTCAACTGCCCTGGTGTGATTTTTTTGTTTGGTTAGGACAGAGCTTTCACTTGGAGCGTATCTATGCTGACTTTGATCTTTATAGCAGCTCCATTTTGCCGGCACTCACTGCGTTTTATGCTGCGCATGCTTTGCCGTACTTGCGCAAGCTGGAACGACCAGTACCACCTGATGTTCCAAGTAGTGCTCCTGTTCCTCCTGCTGCTCCTGTTGCTGCTCCTGCTGCTGCAAGATCCGCTGTGTCCCCCTGGTCGCAATATGAAATGTTGCTTCCCCCCCGACTTATCACAGGCGACTATTGATGGTAGGAACGGCAGCAATGCTTGCACGATTATCTCTGCTGTGTTTATTCGCAACAGTCTTGAGGCTGCTAGTGCTGATGGTGCTGTCGATACCAGTGCTGCTGCCATGTGTGAAGCTATGCGTTCAGGCAACAGTATTTATGATTCTCTGCACACCAACGAACTCCTTTCATGTGATGAAGTGTTAGCACTCCAGCCAAGTGTAGGAGTAGATATGTGTGCTGAGTCATTTGTCCGACCTGCTGCTCTGGACACAATGGTGTCGTTGATGTCAACTCGCTCGCAGAATGTGGCTTCTTTTGCATACGGTGCTGTGTTTGTTGTCACTCCATACTCAATCTCTCTGTGTTCTTGCCAGGGGCGTTTCATCCTCTTTGACTCTCATTGCCATGGGGGTAGTGGTGCACTTCTTGCAGATGTGCCTACTTCTGAGGCGGCTGATTATCTCGAGTACTTTTTTCACACTACTACCCTCGGCTGAACTTCAATGCTGCTGCTGCTGGTAACCCTGCAGCCCACGTAACATTTTTAGACTTGCGACAGTCTGCTTGTGCAACCTAGCTTGCTCCACTGGCTCGCTTGTTCTCTCCCACGTACTTCTTGGTCATTCCACTCCTGTACATACATCTTTGTGCTGATTATCCTAACAACATGCTGCAACCTCATCCTGGCAGTATCTTCGCTTGTATATATCTTGACTAGTTTGAGGGAAAGACATATTATATATTTATTTATTTTTAAACTCTCCTTGTCTTTTGACGCTTGTGGGTAGTGATGAACCCGAGACCATTGGTCGGGGGAGCTACTCTTGCCGCGCCCCACTCTTGTCCAATATGCCACTGCTTGCTCAACATTAGCCCGCTGTGCAGCATCTGCAGGTTCTGTGGTACACTGTAAAATACACTGTGTCAAATAATATTGTGAAGAAGGGCTGAGGCTTCCTGCAGCTTCATCTCTGAAATATATTCCCATAGCGTTGTATATCCGAACCAGTATTTAGGTACTTCAAATGAAGTAATCTGTGCTGTCATCCAACACACGAGCACAAACACAGACCCGCCCCATTGCGGAAGCAATGATAGCGAACAGCTACGTTAAACATAGCAACTTGTGAAATCTGTGTTGTCATCAAACATACGCACCCACGAGCACACACACAGACCCGACCCATCGCGGAAGCCATGAAAGCGAACAGATACGTTAAACATAATAACTTGTGCTGCCATTCAACAGAGTTAATTTACAACGTTTCGGCACTTGGCCATCATCAGGGGGATGCGAACTGAGGGTGCATGAGGGGGGGGGGGGGGGAGAGAAGGTGCAACTGTGCACGTCACGAACAAGAAGCAGCAGAAGGTAGCCTGCCATTGTGCTCTGCGAAGTGAGTGAAGTGAGTAAAGAAATAGGGTTGCAACATACGTGGACAATGCTGTAACCTACTTAGGAGGATCGTGTTAGTTCAGATGGCAGCAAAAGTGGGCAATGCAAAACTAGATCAGCAGTGCAACGTCTAGCTCCTTACTCCACAATCAGTGGGCCAGAGAGGTTGCTCAACAAACAGCAGATTGTCCAGACCTGGCTGATGGAAGCAAACTGCACCAACGGTATATCTTTGTCGAAGATGTGAAATCTTGACTTGACTCTGCCGATGGCGCGCTCGACATGAATACGAACACTGGCAATTTTTTGTGTCTTGACAACATCTTCCTTGGGCATGAACGCTCTTGAGCCCTTGAACGGAGGAATGTTTAAGATGAGCCCAGGCTTAACAAGCAAGTCCTGGATTGCAAAGCCACGATCTGCCATCACACGCTTGCCTGGTGGCACAGAGTCGAGCAGTGGAATGATACCGCTCTCGACCACAAGCTGCTTGTCGCTGATACAGCCAGTGAAGAGTTGGCTAATAAACGTGAAAGTACCATTTGGTGCGATTCCAACAAGACCCTTAACCGTAGTATGGGACTTGTACGACGAATAGAGCTGTGACTGTAATGAGAGTGAGCTAGGAATCTCGCAGCGTAGCTCTGTAGCATCTAGGATGATGAAGGTGTCCGGAAATGATTGTTTAAACGATTGCCGCATTGACTTTGCAACATCATCCCACTCCGGCCAGATAGGCATCATTGCAAGATGAAGGTAGAGGAAACTGATCCACATCTTCAGTATCGATAAAACAGCACTCTCACTAACACCAAAGCTATAAGCCAACTCTTCTTGAAGTCGGCCGAGGCGAAGACGCATGAGCGTGAGTAGTAGCTAATCTTCTTGTGACAGGACAGAGACACGGCCACTGCCACGAGCTATTTTCCGGCCTTCTTGCTATCTTGCTGCTGATTTTTCACTCAAGATTGCACCTGGGCGTACTTGCAGGTAGGACCACAGACTTTTCCATGCCCCATTATTTAGCCCAATGAGAAACTCCATCTCCTTCTCGTTGTCACATATATTGGCATAACGGAAGAGCTGTGAGCGAAGGTGAGTGACTTCAGCTTTCAAACTTTCAACTTCAGCTTCCAACTCCTTCACCTTAGATTTCTTCGTTCGTAGCTCTCCTTGGAGCTTGAACTCCACAGCCGAAACGCCTGGCTTTGGCAGCTGCTTTTGGGCTTCCAGCTCAGCTGCACGAGCTGCACCAACAGCTAACCGTTCTGCGCGTGACAGCCTGGGGGTCGGAGGCGGAGGTCGGAGAGAAAACAAGGACGGCACAGCCCCTTTCTTCACTCGACGACATGGTTTCTTCGCCCCTGGCTGGTGTACAGACACAGTCGGGTAGAAACTTTCAGGTGTAAAATGTTCGCTGCAAACGACAGTATTGGCAGAAACTACGAAGTGTTCCCGCTTCACAGCCTGTATCCACTTTGCGCGAGTGTCAGGATCGGCAGGGAGGACATGAAACGATATGTCAGGCCTCTTGGAACGGCGGTTAGAACAGTCGAACACACAGCAGTGATCCTCAGCAGGCATTCCAATAAACACAACTGAACTCGAGAGAACAAACATTTGATTTCAGACAGGAAAAATTTGAAATGTCGATCCCACGCTGCAGGTCAGAGTGCCCCCCTGCCCCGTCTCGAACCCAGACAATCTTTGGCGAACTTGTCTATTTAATATCGTACTCGTAATGCAGGTTGAGTGATGCCCAGTCTATTCACGCGGCTGCAGATTCATAGTACATACTGTAGAACAGGTAATTTTAGCGACTAGTTGTATTTTAGCGTTTTACCATTGTCAACCGGTTAGCGACGTTTTAGTTTTGCGATATGCAGCAATTTTACTCACGGATCACCAGCGCACTACTTGTCTCAACGGATTAAGGACTTGAAACTTTAGCGAAAATGAGTCGATCGCTAAATTCGCTAGGGTTTTTACGTCGCTAAAATTACCCGTTCTACAGTACCTCATACTGTGTTACTGTCTAATGATCTGGGGAAAAGTTTCTGTCAACTGAATCCACCCAGGGCTAAACCAAGCGGAGTTTAGCATGCACTCTGCAAACGGAATAACACTCACGTCGTCTCCGGCATGTTGATATAAAGTGGCGCAAGAAATAAAAGGAGGAGGAAGGCATGCAGAAGTCTTAGCTTCCGTGCTTCTGTTCTTTGCTCGCGAAACCAGTTTGTGCAGCTAGTGCACCTAAACCCTACGTGAGGGTTCTTGTATGGAAATACTGTATTCACATCTGGAATGCTCGATGTTCTGTATGCACACCCTACTATTCACGAGGATGGAGCCTGCGCTGCTCTTGCCTGCAGCAATGTAGGATACAATATACTGGTAGCTCGAAATACTTTTCTGTTTTCAGCTCATGTGCCTGAAGTCCACCTGCAGACTCCTCCCGAAGTCGTTCCGAGTTTTAGTACTTCGACATACTAACCCTTCATACGTGTAATGGATGGATCATAGTAATCATTGTTCCGTCTGGACCCGCTCAGGTGAAAGATTCTGGTATGATGGCATCTCTCAAGAATATACCAAGCAATGGGAGCGTGACCGATTTTGAGAACAATAGACACAACACCCTGGAGAAAAGGCCTGCACACATTATAGTCGTGAGGAGGCCATAAATGAACATTTCCGGTTAAGACAGGATTCCACTCGATCAGGTGAAGGTCAGGGAACACATGATTTATCGTACGTTTATTGTACAGTGCAAACACAGAACCGGATTATCCTGGTTGATAACACTCAATGTTACTGTTCTTTACGTCATTCTTGATGTTACAGTCGGCCCCTCCAGCGATCAGCGCTTAACACACCTTGAGGGTATATACCTCGGTTATCCAGACCCCAAAGGTACGGGCATTTCAGTTAATACGACTAATTACAAAAAAAATGGCCGTGCAAACCGCGTGCATCTGGCCTGGCACTGAAAGGGATTTCAAAGGATCAGACAGGGAAGTGAACTGCCTAAAAGGAGATAAAAATGCCAGACCCACCAGGGCTCAAATCCGGGACATTGTTTTTCATGAGCAAGGCTCACAAAACACTTCCTTTCACCTCTCGTAGTACGTTCCAGAAAACTGACCGTGGTTGGTCCCCCGGGAGAGGGAAAAGACCCAAGTGCCATCAGCATGTGTGGCATGTGTTGTGAGCTGCATTTGGAGTGAAACACTTGTCAGCATCTTCTGGGTTCGACCTGGTCCCATAGCTCACATATTTAGAGCATTTTTTTCTCAACACGACTGTTCACACAGCATGGGGCTGTGTTCCCAAAATACGTTAAAGAAAATGGACAAAACAAATTGAATACAAACAAGAACACGATAAGCAGCAAACGCACAGGAGGGAAGTGAGAAGTGGCAACTAGTTTCAAGAGATGTTTAGAGCATTGCTCATAACAAGCAAGGTCCCGGGTTTGCGTCCTGATGGGTCAGGCATTTTTTTGGTCGCTGTGTGCAGGTCCTATATGGCATTTGGTACACTATTAAACGGTCGCTAGTCACGCAAGGCAGGTGCAGTTTCCTTTTAGAACTGTCCGTGGATGGAAAAATGCTGGTTAAAAGCAGATGGTGGCTAAAAGCAGAGGTCGCTTACACCAGGTTTTACTGTATAGTGAAATCTGGCCAAGTTCATACGTCCACAGATTTGTAGTACATGTCTAGTATGGTATTACTTATGATTTCCAGAAAAGTCACGTCAACTGAATCAGCCGTGGGCCAAAACCGAGCAGAGTTCTTTTGCGTTGAAATCGTTTCAGGACAACTGCAGCGATTGAAAACTGCTTCACTAGAAATTAATAGAAGATGAAAATAATGTCCAATGACTTCATGTCAATCCAGTGTTTTGGTGAAATGAACTGATTTCGTTGTTCATGACCACCTATGGCACTTGTGCCAGTGGTGGTGAGACTTATCCACTCACCCCCACTGTTAGGCGCTGCATCTGCCGCTAGGGTTTACCGGGTGTTAGCGGCCGTCGTGAGTTCCCTTCTCGAACGGACACGATAATTTCCTTTAATTTTTAATTTTTTTATGTTTCGTTGTTGCAAATAAAATATTCAAAAATAATCAGCACGCAATTTCGAGCATTTTGACATACATATCAGTACATGGGACTGCATTTTGGATAATTAGAAGTTCCGGATAATTCGAATTTAGTGCCTGGCAATTTGAGGTTCGAATTAGACGGAGTCTACCTGTACTTCGACATACTATCAGCTAATACGTGTAATGGATGGAACATAATATTGTACCGCCTGCACCTGCTCAGGTGAAAGATTCTGGCGTGATGGGGTCTCTCAAGAATATGCCAATCTTGCACATTTTGTACGCAACGGGAATGAGGTCAATTAAAAAATAGACACAACACCCTTGGGCAAGATCTGCCCACATTGCAGTGTTGAGGAGGCAGTAGATTGAAAATTGCTCCTTCATGCAAGGATTCCAATTTGGTGAGGGTCTGTGGAACACATGAGTTGTTTTTTCTCGATAGTACATTGTAAGCACAGACCATAATCATCATGGTTCATGACACCCTATTATACTGTCCTTTACCGCATTCTTGATGTCACAGTCCGCCCCTGCAGCGAGCAGCGCTGGCACACATCGATTTGTTCTGCCCTGGCAGCATGGTGCAACGGAGTGTTGCCATGCTGGAAGCAGTTAATTTTACAGAGTAAAGCAGAAAAGGATCAGCATGGTTCATGGCAATCTAAATCCGGTTCTTTACCGTATTCTTGATGTTACAGTCTGCCCCTGCAGCGACCAACGCTTGACACACCTCGAGTTTACCTCTATGGGCGGCATAGTGCACCGGAGTGTTGCCACGCTGGATGCACACGCAAGAAACAATAGTACAAGAAACAGTTCTTAATGAGTTTCAGACACAACTCGATTCTACCTCTCATGGCGGCATGGTGCAACGGAGTGTTGCCACGCTGGAAGCACATGCAAGAAACAACAGTACGGGAAAAAAGTTCTTGGGAAGTCTGAGTGTAGATCACAATCACAATTGTAAATCAATGCAGAGTGGAATTCTACAGTTTGTTCATATGGTACTACTTGTCTGGTACTGCCGTGGACATGGAAATCCGGTCGCACGTCTAGCGGCCCCTAGGCGCTGTCCATGCAGCCTTGATTCGGTATGCGTAGTCTACGGTACAACAGATGCAGTGCACTGGTCACATCGGATCAACATGTGCACTGCATGCAATGCTCTGTACTCACTGAAAGCGCCGTTCCCGGTCGTTCCACTGGATTTCCATGTCCAAGACAGTATTTTCATTGCATGATTGCCATTAGTGTACAAGCATACATGTATGACATATTTTCTTATCAGTGTGTTGTTATACAACTTGGATCAACGCCCAGGATGTGGTAGGAATGCGGCTAGACGTGCACATATGCAAGTGCAGCAATGTAATCTGAACTTGTCCAGGGTGACAGCTTTGCACTTTATTATTTCGGATTTCAACACTCACAACCGTACTTGCTCACTGTTTGGGTTTGAGTGCATACTTTCAGAGCGTGGTGAAGGTAAGTTACGTAATAAAGCCAGAGAGCCGCGCACTGACCCATAACCACAGTTGCATACTCTTGTTTATGCACTCTTGCTACTATCCACGAGGATGGAGTCTGTGCTGCCCTAGTCTGCAGCAATGTAAGATACAATACACATGTAGCTCGGAACACTTTTCTGTTTCCAGCTCATGCTCCAGAAGTTCTCGTGTATGCTCCTCCTGAAGTCGTTCCGAGTTTTTGTACTTCGACACACTAGCCCCTCATACGTGTAATAGATGGAACATAATAATTATTGTTCTGTCGGGATCTGCTGAGGTGAAAGATTCTGGCATGATGGCGTCTCTCAACACTATACCAAGCAATGGGAGCGTGACCGATTTTGAGAACAATAGACACAACAAACCGGGGCAAAGACTTGCACACATTGATGGGGTGAGGAGGCAGTAGATGAGAATTTTCGGGTTAGGACAGGATTCCACTCGGATAAAGGCCAAGGAACAGATGATTGTTTGCACGTTAATTGTACAGTGCAAACACAGAACATGATCATCCTGGTTCATGACACTCAATGTCACTGTGCTTTACCTCATTCTTGATGTTGCAGTCCGCCCCTGCGGCGAGAAGCGCTTGACACATATCGAGTTTACCTATACTGGTGGCATGGTGCAACGGAGTGTCGCCATGCTGGATGCACATGCAAGAAACAACAGGACAGGAAAAAGTTCTCAATGAGTTAGATTGTGGATCACAGTCACAGTTGTAGATCAAAGCAAAACAATTCAGCTGGGAAAATCCATTTTTTTCACGACTGCTGACTCGCAGCACGCAGCGCAGAAAACTCGAAATGTTTGATCGTTCGCCGCTCACTCAAACTTTACCGGAAAGACTTCAGACCTGTTCGAGGCGATAGCTGAGAGTTTTCTCTACCATTGAGACCCTTCGATTGTTGAATTTGGTCAAGTGTTGGCCGAGAACCGAAAGTTTGACTGCGCATCCATGCATACAAAATGCCCATGGTTCGAAATCGAACCATGGACTCCAAAGGGTTAAAGCCAATAGACACAACACCCTGGGGCAAAGATCTGCCCAGATTGCAGTGTTGAGGAGGCAGTAGATTGAAAATTGCTCCTTCATGCAAGGATTCCAATTTTGTGAGGGTCTGTGGAACACATCAGTTGTTTTTTCTCGATAGTACATTGTAAGCACAGACCATAATCATCATGGTTCATGAGGCGAGACCAAAATAAAATCGAGATTCCCGGGCAGGACCCATGTGAAATTGGTGCGGGCGGGCGAATTTTTATTTATTATTATTTTCCTATGACTGTGTGTATGCGCATATGCGCATGCCATGCCGAGCTTTTTTTTTACAGTATTTTCCAGTAATTTATATTTTTTTATTCAAATTTCACAAAATACAGGCACGCGGTTTACCCGTTCAATTTTTCTGTATTTCGGCCAACGATGGTTCTGATCTGTACATCAGGGAGTCGTACAGGCTCGGGTTTGTGTAACTCCTCGTCACAGATCTACTCACACGATAAGTAATGTACATGTATTATGAACTGTTCAAAAAAAACAAAAAACAAAATTGGCCTTGGCTCCAATTTGGTGCGGGAGGGCCCGGGAATCACTAATTTTTTGGTCTCGCCTGACACCCTATTATACTGTCCTTGACCGCATTCTTGATGTTACAGCCCACCTCTGCAGCGAGCAGCGCTGGCACACATCGATTTTTTTTCTGCCCAGGCCGCATGGTGCAACAGAGTGTTGCCATGCTGGAAGCAGTAAATTTTACAGAGTAAAGCAGAACAGGATCAGCATGGTTCATGGCACTCTAAATCCGGTTCTTTACCGTATTCTTGATGTTACAGTCCGCTACTGCAGCCAGCAGTGCTTGAAACACCTCGATTCCACCCCAGATGGCTTTGTGCAACGGAGTGTCGCCATCCTGGAAGCACATGCAAGAAACAACAGTACAGGAAAAAGCTCTTGATAAGTCTTATCGTAGATCACAATCACAATTGTAAATCAAAGCAAAACAATGCAGAGTGGAATTCAACAGTTTGTTCATATGGTACTTCTTGTCTGGTACTGCCGTCGACAAGGAAATCCGGTCGCACGTCTAGCGGCCCCTGGGCGCTGCCCATGCAGCCTTGATTCGGTATGCGTAGTCTACGGTACACACATGCAGTGCGCTGGTCATATCGGATCAACATGTGCACTGCAGGCAACGTTCTGTACACACTGAGAGCGCCTGTCCCGGTCATTCTCCTGGATTTCCATGTCCAAGACAAGACAGTATTTTCATTGCATGATTGCCATTAGTGTACAGACATACATGTATGTCATATTTTCTGATCATTGTGTCGCTTTACAAATTGGATCAATGCCCAGGATATGGAACGAATGCGATCAGACATACACATATGCAAGTGCGGAGTTGTAATAGATGACTTGCACAAAGATCCGAACCGCGAGTTCGACGGGGCAAGTGCACCCTGTGCACCCAGGCTACACTGCGGGCACCCTACACCGTCTGTAGACTAGTGTAGTGTACTTTTTTTGTCAGCATCAGGGAGTCGTATAGACCATACAACTCCCTGGTCAGCATGAATGAACGGTGCACGGCATGTACATGTACATGATCAATACCGTCACTGTCTTCAGCAGCTCATGAGTCATGCATGTGCACTTGTAGGGTTAGTGGAAGCAGGTATTGTACTACTCCCTGAGTGGAAGTACATGACTGTATTATTATGTGAAGAGAAGCCAGGCGTCCAAACCAACCCAAAATACTCTTGCCTTATTCTTCGGTGAAATAGTTATAACAAATTGTCTTACTAAACAACAGTGAGCATAGAAGCAACCTCGATGCACCCAATAATATGGCATCCGGGAACAGCAAGTGTTGCACGAGGATCCCAAGAACATGTCAAGTTCCATGCTACCCGCCGCCATCAAAAGAACGAAGGATAACTGTGCTAGCCTAGTTCATATTCAATGTAACGATAACGGTACGGGATATAGGAGCCTGTTGGGAAGGCGTGGGTGAGCTGTAAAATCTTGTACGGTTCGCACAGCACAACATACATGCAGCAGTTATTAATAATAATAATCTTTATTTCAGGATTACCCAAAGGCTAACGCCTATCTGGAGGATCTCCTATTATTTTGATTGCGACGGTTAACGTCGATGGACGAGAGTCATAAAGCACAGTCCATGGGGGTTGGCGTTTCTGGGCTTCCTTTCCGAAAGGAAAGTTTTATTTCTTCTCCAAAAAAGCAGAATCATGCTGATTATACCAGTCTGTTATGAAGACAAGGAAGCAGCCATGGACATTGTGCCATACTAAAGGAACGACAGGTAAAAGATAAAGCACTTCATCTGAAAACTCAAGGACTATCCATAAATACAGCAAATGATAATCCTAGCCTGGTAATGTCCAACTCCGTCATGTGAGCCATTCGGTGAGTTATCATGGGAAGCATAATGTTCGAAATGCTGAAATTTGAACAGTTCCAGTTGTGTTCGTCGCCACACAATGCCATCGCCAGTTCACATTTGAAATGTAGCCATTTTTACGCTTGTGTCCCTGTACACGGCATGGAAGGCTGAGCAGATTCAACTCTTCCATCGCTTCCTGATCTGTACAGTAGTGCGGTTGCGTTCCCGTTCCTGACACATCGGTCTCCGCTAACCAGCATCATGAGCACTCCAATGGTTCCCGCCGCTCTTTCCGTATCGTCCCAGCGCGCCCCGTCAAAATGTGAATTACTGTAGGCAACGGAGCCAGTGTATGATGAAGGCGAATGCACTGTTTGATGATGCTCCAACAAATCCTTTCTAAGACTGAGACCCAGCCGGAGCCGCATTGTCGTCATTACCAGCTAATCATGGGGAGGAATAATGTGACTTTCCACCACTCCCTGATTCAATCATAGTTTGCGAGCCTGCGCCAAGCTGCTTTCTCACTAGAGCCAGGCATTGGATACATAATGGCTTCAGTAAGGTTTACAATGCTATGTCTCTGGCCTAAGTCCAAGTCTAGATACAGCTGCTCAGAGTCAGGGCTGATGAAGTGTTCATATCGGAACAAGTGAGACTTCAACAGTAGCTAGTACTGTACACATCAGGCCTGAGGACTTCGCAGCGTTTCTCCAGCACACTTGTTCTCTCCTTCAACTCAGATACTACTTGAAGTACTACTAAAGGCCATCTGGCTCTCACACTCAGTCCTTCCACCCTCATTTTCGTGGTTTGGGCTTCCACTCTTGACTCGGCAGGTTCCTGGCCTCTCCGCAGTCTGTCCTCGGGAGACTGGGGTCGCTCTGGAGCTAGTGCAGCCGAATCGAAGGGAATCGAGTTCTTTCTCAGACGTCCACAAACTTTCGTTGTGCTTGACTTCACTTCCACCGCGGGAAAGTAGTCACACTTCAGGACCACGACGTGCTTGTTGCAGCCTACACCAATGATACTAAAATAATATTCCCTCATTTTTTCTGCCTCCCGGCCGGCCGGCTCGAAAACGAACGTATGGAATGGGAGCCTCAGTTCCATCTCTCGTCTACTAGTGCATTCAGGAGCGTAGCAGCGCTTCGGCATGACGATACAAGCCGAATCAAAACAACTCTACTCTCGAGCCAAAAAAACTAGCTCAGTGTTCGTCAGGCAAAAAGCGAAACTTCGAAAGTCACGAACTCAAAAAGGTGGGGAAGTCAGAGTCAGAAGGTCCACTTGCCCCGTCTCGAACCCAGACAATCTTTGTGCAAGTCATCTATTGGAAATGGTCCAGGGTGTCAGTTTTGCACTTTGGTACCGATTTTCAGTGATCACAACTGTACTTGGTGACAGCCTTAATCTGATCCCTCCAGGATGATTCAGGAGAAATTTCGGGATTTGTGTTTTGCCATTTTCAAAAACCAAATTGTAACTCTTCATCCCGGGTCTGTAATTTTTATCGCTTTCGTAATCCAGGTTCAGTGAAACCCCGCCAAATTCACGTGGCCGCGGATTCATAGTATATTCCTGGTACGGTACTACTTATGATCTTCAGAAAGGTTGATGCGGGCCAAAGGAAGCGGATTTCCCTACACAGTCTCGGAATTTAAGGGCACTCACAATGTCTGGGACAAACGCGCACCATCCTTCAACGCGTCTGTGGTGGTACACTAGAGAAGGACCTGTACCAAGCCATACTCCCTGGCGACAACAGGTTTCCGGAGATGTATGGCCTGCCTAAAGACCACAAAGCCACGGTACCGCTTCGGCCAGTTGTGTCAGCTGTTGATAGCCCGGTGACCAATATTTCTATTGTCCTGGAGCGTATACTCAACCAATGCCTGAAATATGTCCCAGCACATCTGAAAAACACGCTGGAAGCACTGGAGGATATCCGGCAAGTGTATCCCGACCTACAAGCCCCAGCGGGGACCATCATCGTTACAATGGACGTGGTCGCTCTTTACCCAAGTATCCCTATCGCTGAAGGGGTGGAGGCGGTTGCTAGAGTCCTGCAGCAGCACATCGAGTCTGTTGACACATTTGGTTTAAGCGTGGAGCAGATCGAAGAGCTGTTAACCTTCGTTCTAAGATCCAATTATTTCAGATTTGGTGAGAAGGTCTACCACCAGAGGGAAGGCATCGCCATGGGTAACAACCTAGCGCCCCCGTTTGCGATTATCTTCATGCATGACCTCGAAACCTCGCTGTTGCTTAACTCGCCTGGTGCTCCCGTACTCTACAAGCGTTATATTGTTGACATCATTATGCTGTGGACACTGGGGGCCGCGCTTCTCCGCCAGCTGATTGCATTCTTCAATACCGCCAATGCGAGCATCAAGTTCACGTTTCAATCTTCGGAGGAAACTGGGTCGGTTGACTTTATGGACACGACTATTCATGTCTCCTCCGAGGGTGCAATATCATTCGAGCTGTTCCGCAAAGCTTGCCACAGTGGCCTCGTCTCAGACTTCAACTCGTGCGTTCCGCAACAGCAAAAACTCGCCATCGCGTCTTCGGAATTCCTCCACGCGGCCCGCCTTTCCTCTGATCCTGCAGCCCGCCAGCGAAGTGAGCAAAAGGTTATTGAAACATTAAAATTCAACAACTTTCCTGACAAAGTTATCGCGACTGCTCATGAACGAGCCAGACGTCCTGCTAAACAAAAGAAAGACTATCGATCCACGTTGAAGTTACCATTCAAAACGGATGCCATCCACTACAGGGTCCTCCGTCTTCTAAACAAATACAATCTAAAGGTACAGATAATCTACAAGAATGCAAGGCTTTCCAACAGCGTCACTAAGTCCAGCCTCACTGGACCTTGCTGCCGTAAGTGGGTGGATCCCGCTGCCCCGAGGCGACGAGGAAGGCCTAAAGCCGCCTGCGTTGCATGCCAATCGAGCGAGGTAGAATGCACAAGACGCAACGTGGTTTATCGTCTGACCTGCAAGTGCTCGAAGAAGTATGTTGGAGAGACTGGCCGTAGTGTAGCCACGCGAACAAAAGAACACAATGATAACTCACGCAACAAGACGTCTGGAAAAGCCCTGGGCGAGCACTACCGACTTCACCATGGCGGCGAGGTACTGCCGCTTGGCGAGTCGGCATTCACAGAGGTTCGCGTCCTTGCCACTGAGTCGGATCGGGCCAGGAGGAGAATACGCGAAGCAATACAAATTCGCGACACGAGCCCCAGCATAAACAATAACGCAGGGTGGGACCTCCTGTGAAGTCGCTGGTGAAGCCTTGTCATTATTTCTGGCCCTGATACTCGCTCTTCCTGGATAGTGGTGGTTTTGCACCCCTTGCACTAGTGAACTGTTACTACTACTGTTGTTGCTAGCGCCTGCAATTACATGTCTGCACGCACCTAGTGCACATGTACATTCTGTTTGTTGCCTGTACCTGTGCCATATTTAGAGTTGTCGCGTATTGCGTTATTTCTA